AAAACACTTTGTTTAAAGATCACTTGGAGACGAATACTTTTAGGCGATTAGCATTTGCACGAAATGGACCTCTCATCGTTAGCCCGACGACAATTATCTGCGTTTACCAAAGTAATTCACAGCAGAAATGCAGTCTCAGGAAACAACCATCGTTTCGTTTATGTGTAGACCGCCGAGACAAGCCGATTTTAACGAAAAAGTTGACATTTGTTTTGTCAAATAAGATGTACGCCAAAAACATGAATAATGTTCGAGGGCTGATTCTTAATGATTCGAAGGGGTGACCACAAAGATGCTAATTTATTAATGTAGACGATAGTTTAAATTACGAAATCAGACGCAAAAACGTATTTCCTCTTAACAAACGTGCCTTTCTTTTCAGCGGATTCTTGACCCCCAAAACAGAGAGGATAGCCGCAATCAGGGCCTTCACTACACCGGGGTAGTCGGGGTCAAGGGAGCCCCACATGAACATCATATTTTTTCAAAATTAAGTTCCTCTCCTCTTTTCACAGGTAAGAAATTGCACACCCATATAAAGGGAAGGGTAAAAAACGGTGAAAAGGCATTTTTCGAGAATTATTTCCCTCCCTCAAAAGAACAAATGACCCCCATAATTCGGTCAGGAGGGTGAACCAAAGGACTTTATCTTTCACGTATTTCACCATATCTCGAAAACTTTTTGCACACAATTATAAAAAATTCGTTTATCCAAAGACACAATATAACTTTAATTGAATTATTAATTTTTATTATTTTATTCAATAATAGTTGAAAAAATTATTGGAGGAGTTCGAAGAGTGACTGAATGGACTTGTCTATAGAAAAATGAAAGAGCACGAAAGACTGACTTTAACAATATAATCGATGAATTTGGGTCAAAAAAGGCCAGAAGAAATAAATTTTAAATTAATGATATAATTTTCTCGAATTTTTTTTTTAATTTTTTTTTTATATTATCTATTATATATAATTCTCTTACGTAGCTCCCAAATTTTGGCTGTATTTCTTTTCCGCCGGTGGCAACGTTTGCTTTGTTTTGAAAACACCAAAGCATTCTGCCTTTTAATGATGTGTTTCTGATCTAATATATATAATTCTCTTACGTGGCTCCCAAATTTTGGCTGAAGTACTTTGTACAACTAAATAAGATTCTTTTCACAACAGTTAAATATTTACTTTATTTTCTTCATTCATAGAGAAAACAGTCGGCAAAGAATTCTGTTAGGTTAAAAAACATTTCGCTAAAAAAATAACGAATTCTAAAAGAAATAAAAATAAACAACTTAAAAAATAAAAATGCTGTTGCCAGCCATAGAATTTTTTGAAAGTTAACTTAGCAACATAAATCAAAATGACATAGAAGCGCAACTAGATCAAAATTATGATACCTGAGCGCTTGACGTAACAAATCCTTCAATTCTAAAAGTGTTGTATCGCCAAATGCCCAAATTAACAATTGTGTTCTTAAAGAAATTCTATAAAAAGTTTTAAATAAACAACCTACTTCTACAACTGCTTCTTGAAGAACTTGGCTCATAGATTAAAAATATTGTTTTAATTTTACAGTACTAACTTTACTTCTACTTTCATTATTGCTATGACCCTCTTTCATTACATTTTACAACTTCATGCTAAATTTGAGGACTTTAAGTTGTTTTGTGGTTGAATACTGACATTTAGAAATGTGTACATAAAAAAAATAATATTTAGAGGTTAAGAGTTGCCTCAGAAAAATTTGAATTGTTGACATTGAACTTAACAATGGAAACAATCGTTTTTGTGAAAAATTGAATTGTATTGTTGACATCAAAACTAAAAATATTGTGTTTCAACTTAACAATACTACCTTAATTTATACTTTAGAATTGCCTCGGAGAAATTTGAATTGTTAGCAATGACTTAAACAAAAAGTTTTATTTTAACTGACAAATACTATATTATAATTTTAACTTTTTCTATGACTATACTCATTTTCTTACTCTTTTCTTTGTTTTTTATACATTTTATATTTTTGTGATAAAATAAAAAACTTATAGTTGTTCTGCTTCTGAACACTGATGAAAACACAAAATGATGGGCTTCATCAACAATCAAAAATATATACATTTATTTTACAAATTCCATATTATTAAGGTGGCGCCCTTCAGAGAATTAAAAATACAAAATTATCTTCATCAAAGCCGATGCTTTACATCCGGCGTTCAGTGGCAGACTACTATTTCATATTGTTTTACAACACATGGCTTTAGCCCTCTGGTGGGAAAGACTTTAAAACAAAACTTACAACAGTTACTTTTCTCAACAACTGAAATTTAGAATAGTGTGATTAAGAAAAATATGTGAACTGTTTGCAATTTCAAATTAATATTGAAATGTACAGGTTTAGAATTTTCTACAGTGAAAAGTTTTCGGAACTTCAGTATTCAAAAAAGTATACAAAAGCTAGACGTTAAGAACGTATCCAATGAGCGAGCAAAGCGAGCATTGGATTGCGAAGCAATCCGAAATAAACTGCGAAAGCAGTTCCGGGGGTTGGTGAGCGTCAGCGAGCAGGGGGCGAAGCCTCCTAGTTTTTTTATATTACAATATTTCATCGAATTTTTTTTTTAATTCTTTATAAAGATTTATGCTGGACAATTTAAAAAGTTGTGATGATTTTATTATTAATTTCCCTTAATTAACAACAGATCAGCAATTTTTAGTGGACTGTGCTTCAAATTATTGATGAATTTATATTTTGTGCCAATTGTAGACATTAATGTTATATTTTTTTTATATATTTTTTTTAATTTACATAATTTTTTCGTTTTATCTTTTTTAAAAATTTTATTACTGTGAAATCTATTTTTGTAGCTTTACTTTAAATATTTAACAAAAACTGAAACTAATCCAAATATTAAATCATTATTCTAGAAATATATTTCAATGCGACCTGATATATTACTCTTCTCAACAAACTTAAGTTTATAAATCTATATACCAAACTAGAACCATTCAATATGTTTAAAATTTTGCATTCAGTATGTGTTTTGCAATTATATTTTAGAAGTCTTATACACTTATATGTGTTTTGTAACCAAAAGGGGATTTTCTAAGTATGACAACATTTTATATTCTATTGTAAAATTTAAAACTTTCTCTATTCCCATTTATATGTGAACCTGTCTTGATAAATATATTTAATAACATGATACATAAAATAACGGATGAAGTTTTAAAACCTGCAAAAACAGGTACAAAGTTAAGAAGAAAATTACGCCGCAATATGGGAAATAGGGTCAGGAGAGCGATCCAAAGCCCCTTAACTAAAATTTCATTTGATGCATATTTCCAGCCATGCTTCCAGAACTTTTTAAGCTAACTGAAAAAATATTTGCACACAGTTATAAAATTCGTTTATCCAAAGATAATTTCATGCAAAAAATAAATTTCTGCTAATATTTATTATTTGTTATTAATTTATTAAATAATTGTCGATGCATAATAATAGTACACAATTTTTACAACATTCTAAGGAATGTAATTTTACAAGGTAAAATGCAAAATTTGAGCTAAATCGGTCGAATAGTTTCTGCGAAATCGAATTTTGAACATGTGACTTCTTTAAAATTTGATTTCTGAGGAACTATTCAACCAATTTTGCTCAAATTTTGTATTTCGCAGTATAAAACTTTGGTATTTTACCATATACTTTAAAATGACGTAAGTTTTTTCGATTATTAAAAAATAAAATAATTAAAAAAATAAATAATTTCTAAAAGTAATTTTTTGCATGGAGTTATTTTTGGTCAAACGAATTTTATAACTGTGTGCGAAAATTCGTCAATTCGCTTAAAAAGTTATCGAGATATGACGAAATACGCAAAAGTAAAAGTCCAAACTTTGGATCGCTCTCCTGACCAAACTATTGGAACCCTATTTAACAAATTGCAGCTACCCCCCATACTATGGAAGTCAGAAATCTGAATCCATCGAGAAAAAGTAAGGTTTATTCAGAGAAAGTATATTTTTGCGTCTGATTTCGTAACTTAAAATATCGTCCGTATTTATTAAATGGCATATTTGAAGTCACCTCCTCGAACCATTAGGATTGAGTCCTAGAACGTGAAGATCCGATCATAAGATTTTATAATAAATACGCTATAGATTTTAACTAATATAGTTGCATTACTTATAAGCGACGAGTCCTTAAAATTTTAATTTATGGACTCAAAAAGTTTAATTTTGTGCTTAAAAACCCTGACTAATGAAATTTAAAAATATAAAATTTTCACCTTCATTGACTAGATGAATTTCAACACCATAGTCACAAATAAGGAGTTCTGCAAGTTAAAAGAAATCAGGCTAACACAACCAGCACAAAAAGAAATTTTTTTAAAAAAGAAAGGAAACTGTAATAAAAATAATTTTGGCATATGTTGGAGTAGATTGTTTTTTCAGACTGAAGTTTTTCTTTCTATTTTCATAAACGAGCGTTTTTAATGTTATTTAAAATATTTTTATATTCTCTTTAGGATTAACTTATTCATAATTATTGTCAGGCAATTTTAATAAAAAAATATGAATACTGAAGATGAAAAATAATTTCACAAAGTTTTAAATAAACTATTGGCTGGAATTGAAAACCAATCCATCCTTTCGGACGACAAGAGGATAAACATCAGTGACTTGAAATGTTGTGACTTTTGTAAAAGTCTGACGAAAGAAAAAAAGGCTTTTATAAAAGTCGGAAAAGAAAGAACGATGAAAAAAACATTTGACTAATGGGACATCATCAGTGATCGTAAAAATGCGATTACAATTTTTTTGTTGCACGGTGCGGATATTAGATATGAGTTAGAAGTTCGAAAGAAAGATTAAATATACATATTATAGAACCCGTCAGAATTTTCCACAATATCTCATGACTCCAATAAATAGATTCAATTTTACTTATTCATTTAAAAAAAATGTCTTTAGGATACTCAGAATAGGTTCTAACAAATTGTCTTTTTCAGAGCATAATTTATGCTATTGTCCTGTTGTTCTGTCCAGGAGGGATGCTGTGCGGCGATGTGAGAAGAGGTGAAAATGAAGGTTATTACGCATTCGAGAAAGCACCCTCTCGCTTCATGCGACCCCCACAAGTCAGAAAACCCCCTTACATGATGTCTACCGTCCCCTGCCAGATGAGAGAGAGTAAAAGGCCGAAGTACACACTGTGCGGAGATTTGAACAAGGGTTTCATACCCATCAATCCCATGGGTCAAGAGTTTAATGGACATCCCTATCCATTGTAAGTCAGACGTCATCACATCTCATTCATAACACTTTGAGGACAGAAAATGTTACTTTTTGTTCCTTTTAACCATGATAATATTACTTTACAGAGACGAAAAATGAAAAGCACTGAAAATAATTTCAACAAAACATAGAAACAATTTAATAATCATTTCTTTAACAAATGCATAATCAAGATGATGATGAGTTATCGATTAAAAAAAAGAAAGAAATCACACATCCATTTATATTTTTCACGCATAGGGGTGTCCTCAAACCATAAAATTTTTCCAGCCCTCAAATCATAGTTTAGAAATCTGTTGACATCAAGGATGACGGGTGGTCTAAGAATGAGACTATGAAGCTACGATATTAATGAGAACAAATTCCGATGATAAAATGAAATAATTTATTCCGAGATAAATTCTGAATAACGACCGTCTCAAATTATAATAGTAACTTCTTTTTTATAGTGAACATCATTTTCTCAAATTTACAGAACCGTCTATCGCCTCAAACTGAACTTATCCATATCATCTCCAATCACAGGCTATTCTAGTTTTTCTCGCTTAAAAAATCACACAATTTGACTTTTGCTCGTGTAAGGCGTTCATATTATTGTTTTTTCATATTTTCATAAAAAGCCGAAAGGAATTTTCAATGGATTTCGTAAGGTAACGGGTGACTGAAAATTTTGGTTTTCAAAATAATGGTTCGTATTACCACACATGAGTAAATTTAACAAAATAAATAGTTTTTATGCCACGTTTTAAGGTGTCATGACATGATGAAATTACCAAATTACCATACATATACGAAATTTCCCGTTTTAACAACCAAACAGTACTGTAGTAAAACCATATTTTATTATCTATGTGTATAGATTTGGCGTTCTTATAGAGCCAGAAATACGGTAAATTTTACCATATTCTAACAGTTTTGACCATACTTTTTTTTCTCAGTGAGGAATGAAGTTGTAGTTCAATTTTATTTTTTTCCCCCATCTTTGACGTTGCTAGATAGCAGATCTTTTCTGAAGCAATGCAATGTGCCATAAAAAAAATAGGACCACCTCTTCTATAAATTTCAAAATAATACAGATTTCCCCCCAATTATTTCATTGTAAGAGTAGCAAAAAGACACGGGAAGATTTGAAATGAAAGAAAAGCAATAGCTAAAACATTTACATAAGATTAGATAAATTTCAATTTTTAACAAATAACTCCAAAGCTGGTAAATTTTCAGGTGTCCTTATGAATGCTAGGATTACTATAAAATTTTACTCACAATTCCAAGGTCTAGCCGGTTCCCGCATGAAGAAATTTTCGGTGGTTGAAATTTGAAAATCCGGTTAACTTTTTCTGGTTTCATTTCATCAAAAATTAAAAATCAATTTAATAGGAAAGATACAGCCCAGTACCTTGGTCGTCCCTGCAACGGTAGGCATTTCCGTATTTGTCACCGCCAATTGTTTTGTTATTTAGTTACTTTTTTCAAAAAGCACACTACGATTTATGTGCATAGGATTTTATACATGAAGTTGAATTTAAGTTGAATTGTAAATAGGAAAGAGAAAAACGAGCCGCGATGTCTTAGGGGATAGAGCGTTCGCCTTCCAATGAGGTGAACCGGATTCGAATCCCAGCGATGACTGGTTGATTCGAATTCAGCACTCGGCTAGCACCGACCACAGTGCTGACATAAAAATATCCTCAGTAGTAGACGGATCATGGATTAGTGTCTCCTTGCCTTCAGGCTAACCATGTGAGGTTTTTAGAGGTTTTCCTACCCATGTAAAGCTAATGTATGTTAGTTCCATCCAAAAAGTCCTCCACGAAGGCAAATTTCTCCCAATACTTGATCCAGGAGTTCGTTTGTCTTCTGCATTGAGTTCAAAATGACAAGGCTACGGAGTTGAACATCAGTAGTCCTAAACTCAAAATTGGGTCGGCTGTTATAAAGTAAAATAAAATAAAGTTGAATATACCTAATGAACTTAACTAAATTGAAATTTGAGTTATGTAAAGCTTTTTCTTTTCCTTCCAAATCTTGTATGGAAAACTATTATTATTTGAATGTCTCTCTCTCTTCTTTAGCGAACTGATTAAAAACAAGACGCTGATATTCCTATCGAAAACTCTGCCCTACCTCAAAGAGGATCCAAAAATTCCCAAAGTCACCAAGTTTCAGACAAAGAAACAACACCAAAGACATCGTCGATCCATGGAAATGATGAAGAATGCAACAGAGAATGAAACAAGCGGAAGACAGAACTGCGAGTCTGGGGGAATGTAAGTATTACAAAAAATAATACACATATCTCTTCACTTACCTGCCTACTGAATCAGTTACTAGTAGCAACCAATACGTTTCTATTGCAATAGGAAAAAGAATCAGCCAATAGGAATAAAGCAAACAACTAGCGTCCACTCACAACCACAAAATTACAGCAATCGATTGAATTATCAATTTCTGTATTGGTCGTCAAGTGATATAGTTCAATCTCTAGCATAGACATCTCTATTTGCTTAAAAGCATTTTCAAAATACCACGTTGAGTTAATAACATAATGCGCGGATGTGGAGCTGGATGTCAACAATTGCAAAATTCTAAAACTAGAACAAAACATAGAAATATGGTTTTCTACACTAGGGTGCGTCCCGCAGTGGACTGATCGTTAAGACACGGTTCCCAGCAGATCACCGAAGTCAAGCATCACTGGCTGCGGTCAGTGTGCGGGTGGGTGACCACTTGGATCAGTCTGCGTAGGGACCGAGGGTGTGCGGTATTGGTCCTCGTTAAACTGTGCTACCGTAAAGTGCTCGACTTCGCGCGCAGGTCGTCGGGCTACCGAAGCGGGGGAGTCATCCCCTTCGCAGAGGATCAAAATTGTGATGGAATGTCTTCGGATCATCCTCAGGGATGTTTCCCAGACCGTCGCTTATAGCCCATTGTGCAGCTCTAGTGCGACGTAAATGAACAACAACAACTACACTAGGGTGCACTGCACCTATATTTCCGGGTTACTGTTTCCGATGTATTTTGGAGCCCTATGGCTCACAACGTAATCAATGTATATAGAGACTATCTTGAGTAGTATTTCTTGTACAACTGTATTTGTTACCTGATTTATTATTTGTGTTTAAAGAAAAGTCATTTGAAGACCTGTCATTTCGAGATGTAAAAATCGTTATTTGAAAAAAAGAATCATTATAAAACACTTCTTACCTTGTCAACTATATACCAACTTCGAAATTTAAGCTAAAACTGAATGATAATTTGTAAAATGTACTTAATCTCGCTGCTCGAACAATATGATAACACTAACGCATGATGGTGCACGGCTTGCCCCAAGAACAAACAGTAATAAACAAGTAAAAAGAGGCCAAATCAGAACTGCCAAAAAAGCGAGCTCCTTCTAAATCTAGAAATCATGTCATCTTTTTTAACAATATATCTATAAATAACTAAAGCAAATTTTCACTTCAAACTCACCAGAATTACTTACTATCTTATGAAATGCAGCCGATTTGGGTTCAGAAATTATATAATTTGTTTCTTTTATTAAAAACAAAATTATCTGTTTGAAAATATCGTCTCGCGGAATAAGCTGTAGTAAGCAGCTGTATACTTTCCATCCGGAAGTAGAGCAGGTCAAGAGATCGGGATTGTTGCTGTTTACATTTATAATCAAAACACTATCCATTCAAAATTTCCCATGCATCTCTCTGCTCTGATATCACGGCATAATTAAAGCGTAAGTGTTGCTATGATTTGAGTGTTATTCTCAGTTTTTTTATGTCTTTACCTGAAGTTAAATGGATTTACAAATTGAATGGTAAATAACACAAGTTACCTTGAAAACAGTACAATAACAACGAAGGTTGGCGCGTTTTTTAAGCCTAGGCGTAAAAGTGAATCTGGAATAGTAATCCGGAAGTCTTATTACGAAGCCTTCACCGCTAGCGCCACCTGGGCTTAGCTTTAGACGGTTCTTTATCCATAATTTAAATTATAAGGCTTTTCATTAAAAATTAAAAAATTGATTTGATTTAAAAATTATCCTTCATGTAAAATTATATATAGAAAAAATAGCTGTGTAATAAAAAGTTCGAAGATATTTCCGAAACTAGTTGTGGAGGTGGTGGCTGAAAACATAGAACCTATCTATGGATGGTTGACCGTGTAAAACTAAGCACAGATGGCGCTAGAGGTTAAAATTCGTCGTAAGACTTCCGGGTTACTGCTTCTGATTGATCTTTTCGCCTAATCTTGAAAAAACGCACAATCCAATACTATTATACTTGTAGTGTTTTCAATATAACGTGTTCATTCTATTTAACTTTCAACGAAACAAACCACAAATGAATTCGGGAGACTTCGCAAGCTTGTTATGATGCTACCCAAAAAATAACAAACGGTGCTATTTTACACAAATACACCCAAATAAGGAATAACACTCAAAACATGGCAAACTTTATTTATGTCGTGATATTCCTAAAAAGGTTCACGAACTGCTTACAAAAAAAATCTTATAAAAGGTAAAATTACGCGTAAATTAAAATCACTTCCTAGAATATTAAAGCTGTTCACACATCGCCTTGTAAGCATAACATAAGAGGAGGGATACACCGGAAATTTTATAAATTTCTTACGGTTTTAGATAATTGCTTTACATTCACTCAACCATCCATAGAAGAACGTTATTTAGAGTCAGTGCCAGGGTTACATTTTTCGAAATTTCAATGACTCCTCTAGTTTTAACTCTTTGAAGGTTTTCAACGCAAATCACAAAGTAATTAAAATAATGCAAAAATTCATTTAAATAAATTGTTCTAGTAAAGCATAATTAAAATAAGTTTAACAATTTTGTTTTTTGTTAATTTTTAAAAACATTTTTTGCTCTTCAAAGAAATTATAGACAATGAATCGAATCCTATTGCGGAGAAAAAAAATGTATGTTTATTTAGAGATCTAGAAACTTAATGGACAGCTAGTCAAATGTTCACAGTGTGATGTCACTAAGTTAATTGTTAATCGAGCTTAAAGCCAAAATGTAAATATTTTCCTCGTAAAGGCCTTATCTTTGTTCTGAATATAAACAAAATCCAGTAACAAAGCATGCGAAAAGGTTTACCCTTATCTCAAACACACATAAAGTAGAGCCTGTTATGCAATAGAACCTCTTTTCTTGCTTCACGGATCAATTTTCTTAGACAACATTCAAACTGATACAGTTTCAGAGGTTTTGCCCCGTTGACGTTGTGTATTTGCACTCATCGGTCGACCTACAAAGCAGACCATCAAACTTAGTTAGTGTATGAAGTTTAAATTCTAAATGAACTAGTTACACTAATATTCTTATTTAACACTATTTTCACAAAAAAATATGAACAATTTTTAAAGCGTTAACACATGTAGCATAAAGAATTTTTTGGGGATCAAAACTGTGAAAGTATGTAGAAACTGATAAATGGAATAATTTGTCACAAAATAATAATAAAATAAGGCTCCTAAAAAGTCCATTAATCATCCACATATCATCAAGTCATAATAATAAGAATAATATCAGAAATGTACTTTCATCATGTCTGTATTCTTAATTTTCTTTTTACATTGAAATGCCGTTTGTCAATTGACGCCTTAGGGTCAAATTCTCTTTGGACTTCCCACTTACAGAAATTCTGAGTCTTCAAAGAGTGTGCGGCCACCTTTCAGCTATTGTGACTTCCCCATCTATATCGCATAAAGCAAGCTCTCAAATCTGAAAAAAAGTATTGTAGTTTGATTTAAAACTCAACATTAAACAGAGCAGCTTACCGGTCAGCCCTAAATATTTAATAGCCATTGACGAGTGGAAATTTCGTGCCTTGACTTAGTACATGAAAATCTAATCCTTATCTCCAAAGTTATCCAGAGTGTCTAGATTTAAAAAAAAAAAATCTTTGTGAACAGAAGAGTAGAAGTTGTGATGTTAGGATACTTGAAAAAATTTTAAGTATTATTTCTTTTTCTTTGCAGACTTTGTTCGTTATCTTCATTGATATCGAACAACAAAGTTCCACTAGCTTTAGTGAGTGCCCTCACACAAAGTTTTGCTTCTTCACTCAACAACGAGGCACAACAGCAGCCTGTTGCTATGGAAGCATCGACTGCGGCTCGACCCTCTCTTAATGCAGAATCGGTGGACAGTAATGGCGGAGGTGGAATGAACATGGCGGATGCGGTTATGGGTCTCCTGAGCACGCTCTCGAGTATGGGACTGATTGGGAATGGACTTGGTTCTGTCAAAGATTCAACTCCAACGTGAGTAACAATCTACATAATAATAAAAGGATTTATATAATATAAATCTCTCTCTATCATGTGAATCTATATAATATAAATTTATATAATATAAATCAATATACGAGGGTTGTTTTTTAAATAAGGGCCGTTTTGTTGGGGACACTAATAGGTGACACGTGCTTCGCAAAGAGTGCTTGTGTCGTGTCCCGTCATTCCTTGGGAACAACTGTGCGTGTGGGTAAACTGCACGGTCAGTTCTGTGCTTTTAAAATGTTCCTGCCATGCTGACAGGGGATTTTGCTACTCTATGCCAATTAATCTCCACAGTAATTTAACACAGGAACGTAAATTATTCTATCGTACAATGCTCGACTTCACGGGCTGGTAGTCGAGCTATCAAAGCGGGAAAAGCCATCCCCTTTGACTTTGCAGCAAGGATCTAAATTGGGTTGGCAAGGATGCGGATCATCCTCTAGGATTTTTCCCAGACTTTCGCTAATGGCGCATTGCACTCTAGTGCTACGTAAATAAAGTACTACTACTCAACTACGACAGCCCCATTTTTAGTTTTTTTGTCTGTTAAGCACAATAATTGAGATGGATGGTATGTTAGAGCTACGTCAGAGAATTAGTATTCTTACGTTTTCTGAAATCACGATTTTGATAATAGTTAAACTTCTGAAATGTGCCTCTATTATCAAAAGTTAATGGAGAAAATTATTTATTCGGAGATTGTTAAAAATCGTCGAAGAATTATTTATGACAACGATGCTTAGTTAATTCTAGTAATAGATACTACTGATATTAAGTTACTATGTGGTATTTTAATCGGTACCAAATATATTAATACAGGTAGATAATGAAGTCCCAAACTCACGTACAGTGGTAATTCGCGATCGCAACGCTCGAATACGCCATCTGCAGAGAACACCGATTCCATGTCTTGACCCTTCTCTCTCCTCTTCTTCTCAGTTCTATAGGAATATATTACGATATTTTCCTCTTTTTTAATATTTTTCGTATTTAATTGTCAAAAATATTTTTTTTTTTATTTCTACATAGCTTTTTTTCAAAACTATGCTCAATTTAGTTCTCAGCTTAAAAATTTTTATTCCATTTGAAATCAAAAGAGAAACTAACGTATGCCCTTCTCCTATGACTCTTCACACCCAAATGGTGAAAACATGCGAATTGTTGCCGTAGATAGAGAGTTTTGCTTCCACCTGTAGCCCATTTCGACAGCCAATAAGTTTGCTTTCACTTTCTCGAGTCACAGAACAAAAGGAAAACTGCAAACCAAACCATGCGCTACAGATAGTTTTTCTTTTTTTCTATTCATTTATTTAACTATTTACTTATCCACTTATTTATTTATCTGTTTATTATCGATTTACTTATCTATTTATATATGTATTTATCTATCTGTTTATTTATCTATATATTTAACTATTCAGTTAACTACTTCTTCATCTATCTATCGATTTATTTATGAATTTTTTTAAATATTTTTTTTTTCTTTCTTTCAGGGAAGAAGAGCCTTCAACGCTGGCCCATGTCCTGTCAGTGTTGACAGGTGCATCACCAGGCAGCAGCAGTGCTCTCTCCTTAGTGTTAAAGTTGATGGCCAGCGATGCATCCCCTCTGAGAGGCTTGGGGAAACGGAAGCCAGTGACTGCAGACCTAGAGACGGCAGAGACCAGAAGGCCCAGTGATGACCTGCCGCCCACGCCCTGCCCATCGTCCGAAGAATATGTCACACCGACATTTGCCAGGAATTACCAGGGCGTGTGGAAGTACGTGGTGCAGATACCACAGGAAGGATACTTTACTCAGACAGTACAGCAGACAAAATGTATGTAAGTAAAATTTTAATAAGCTTCATTCTAGTTTCCTTATAGTATCCATATTTTCTTACTTCGTTACAGGAACAAAACAAAACCCAAATGGTCAAATATTAGATTTTTTGAGAAACTAAATGTCATGAAAGACAGTAGTTCTCAAAATCCCTTTGAAAATGACTCGGTTAATTAATAATAATTAAGAAACTTAATTTTGGGTTTTTGTTTCTCTTTAGTGAGTTAACAAAATAGCATTGAAAGTTACCAAATTTTAAGTCTTTATTTTTTAGTCGGTTTACAAATTCCCATTGAAACTTACAGAATTGTAATCTTATGTTTAGTGGGTTTACGAATTCCCATTGAAACTTACCGAATTGTAAACCTATGTTAGTGGATTTACAAATTCCCATTGAAACTTGTCCAATTGCAAGCTTATGTTAAGTGGGTTTACGAAATCCCATTGAAACTTATTGACGGAGCTAGTATTATCCTTAATTTATGATATAAGTGTTTTTTGTAGGTGGAAAAGAATTTGCCATGAAGAGTTTTGGCCGCGGTAAAGCATCCTTGCAACTTCAGTTTCCGTACTCCATTTTATCTATTTTTGCATTTATCTCGCATGAAAGTATAAGAATATGTTGCAAATTTTTTTCTCAGATAGGTTTGTTAAGCAAAAAAGCAATAAAACTTTAATGGCTTTTTTTTTATTCTGCAAAACAATATCTTTATATACGACTGTGAGCTAGATATTAACCCCTTGAGATATCATTTCTTGATGTAGAAATGATCTTTGATTGCACTGTAAACAACAACTCGCAACGGAATGTTGAGAGAGGTGCTAACTGCTCCGTACCAAAATTTAAAAAAAAGGTAAATAACTACAAACAAAATTTTGCGAATATTTGACAATTTTTACTTGCTTTTTAAAAGATATAGCATGACATAACTACTGTCTGTCTCTGTCTTGGTGGTTGGTCGGGGTGCCAGAGGCCGAGTTGGCCCTTTCATCCTGGAGGATCGATGAGGTGGAACACTGAGGTCAGGAGCATAAAGCTAAAGATGAGTTGGAGGGGGGGATGGCTTATTGCCATGGTGAGGAAAAGCTGTGAGATGACTTGAAAACGAGTTGAGAGTAATCAACAAAAATGAAGTCCACCGTGCTTTGCTCGAAGAAAACGTCTCGCTGTTATTAAGATTACTTATCTTGATTAGATAAATAGCATCTCCAGTCTCCGCTAGTAACTAAACTGGGCGACATAACTACTATAAAGTGGTGACGAATTATTTAGAAATACTGGTGGATAAAAATCTACTAAATTGAATTTATTAAACCGAGAATCACAATTGATAAACTACCACTTTAAAATATTTATTTGCTGTCCGACGCAAGTTGACATCTGTGTGTTGAAGACGTCTGAAACACGTTAATTGTTTTGACATAAGAAACAAATGACGTCTCCCAAACGTCTTCGTATGTCAACGGGTTAATTAAAAAGTGATCTTTAAAACTAGTTTTGAGATAACTAACGCACAATAACTCAATGATTTTTTCCCTTTTTTTTCCTTCAGCATTGGTAGAGAGAGATCTATAAATAAATTCCACCTTGATAAAAAAAAAGATTAAAAAAACAACGTAAGGGCCGCATGTGTTTTGGATATCCAACTTTACGTTACATTTTGCTTTACTTGCGCAAAAACTATAAGACTTAGAGACTTGAAATTACGAAGCTATGTAGAAAAATGTACCGAGATTTCCATGGAATAATAAAATAAAAATAATAACATTAGAGAATTAGTTCTAGAATAATTACATGGAGGTAAAAAAATACCAAGCGGGCTGCTCCACAGGACTCAGAAAAGCGGCTACAGAATTAAAACGTGACGTACGGAAAGAGCCATTTTTATTTCTAAACTTTACTCAAGTTTTTTTTATTTATTTTTTTATTTATTTATTTATTTATTTTTTTGAAGTTTCAATTTGTTTGAAAGTTAATACATTTTTAAGTGCTTCTTTTGCGAATTTCTTGCACTATTTTCCTTGAATAATTATTATTTATCGATTGTTGACAAACAATTTATCTCTCGAGATTTTCATTTTAACAACTCGCCCTGGATTTAATGTCAAAAGTAACAACAAAAAAAATCTTTTTTTTTTTTCTTAAATGGAGAAAGAGACTATATGTTGCCAGATATAAATCATAATATTTATATCGAAATTTTTTTTAAATATAAATGTCTCGAGAGAGGTAAAAACCATTTCCGATTTGGAACTGTTATGCGATAGAAGGTTATTTGCTGTCGCAACGAACTATAGGTTGCGTTGTTGTTTGAGACGAATACCTGCGATTTCTAAATGAACAGTCATTCAGTTACTCTGGAGACGTCTTTAATGTAGCCTGTAGGATTGTAACGTTCCTTCTTTATTGTGGCTTATTAAATTTAAAAAAGAAAAATGTTTGATATTCTTTCTTATGCAAATGAAACAAAATGGTGTCTCTCTCTTTTTTTTTCTTTTTTTTTTTTTAGAGAAGGAACATTTAAAACACATTGGAAAAATATTTGTAAATAAACAGAAAAAAATATGTATCTTCTAATTAGAGTTAAAACCTAATGCCTAAGAAATAGTTTTACTAAATTTAATGATATAACTTGAAAGGTCCATTTAAACTTTACATTCCATAGTTTTAAGAATCATATTACTTCAAAAATTAAAATGAACAAAAAGTAGGACATAAAGCCTCATAATTTTATGTAATTTAATTTCGTAAACAAAGTTCTTTGACAACAATTTATATCAAAAAACTTTAAGTTTCAATAAAAATCATAAGAACGTATTTAAAAACTAAAAAACGTAAATAAAGAATGCTTAAGGAAAAAAAATTCTTTTTTTTAAGCTATTTTTTAGTGCTACGAAATCTTTGGGATTTGCTAAAAACAATACAAGATGCAATTTTATTTTTTCAGGAGCGTAATATTTTACCGAAAAAACGAAAATGTACCAATTGGGTATACAACATATGACGCAATGCTAAACGAATGGAAAACGATTTTAAAAATTCTTCATATTGAAATAAAGATTTTCATATTGTTTCTTTTTTATTATTATTATTATTATTATTATAGTTCTTAATCAGACGTAAAAAACCATTCTGTACAGAACGATCATCAAATAAGAAGAAAAAAATTTACAAGCACATTTTTTATTGTAAAAATCATAACACTCGCCTGTTTTATAAATCCGCAGAATTCCAAATAAAATGTTCTTCGTTTGAAAATTTTATTTTCAAATAATATATGCACAGATTATCCTTTCAGTACTTTTAGATAACATATGACACATCAAAATTTTATAATTGTAAGATCTCGATATGAATTTGAATATGTAGCTTAAAAACATAATAGCTGAATTCTAGTTGATATTATTCTTTCAAAACTAAAAAAAAATTACCAAGAAAACGATAAAAATTTATTAATAATCAGCACAAATGAAACTATTTCAAATAGTTCGAATGATTCTTTATTGTTGTTTTCTGACTTAGATACAGAAATATATACTATTCTATAAAGAAGAAGAATATTCTATAACTATTACAGTTCTGTACGTTCTGAATGCCCTTTATTCATTGGAATGACGAAAGCAATGTTGACTTCACTTTAATTTATAATGAATTGAAGACAGAAAAAATTATTTTACTGTATTACACCTATCTGTAACAGCAAGTGATCATGAAATCGGAAGTTATGTTGTTGGTAATAGAGAGATAAAAATTATTGAGAAATTGTTCTTCAAATGCTTGGCGTGTTCTGCTTCAATGTTTGGCATGTTCTGGTTAGTTTTTCCAAGTTTTTCTACCTTTTCCTTAGGGAAATTTTGCTTCTTATTTTCTGCTAAGAAGATGGCATCCGTCATTGCCAATGGTTATGATGGAACTAATGCCCGATATTTTCAGGCTCCCGCTAGAGGGCGGACTCGAGTGTTGCGATCGCGAATTGTTTTAGATTTTTAACTACTAAAATTAATTCTTATTGAGCCACACATTCTTTTTTTCTTTCAAATCCATGTTCAATTTGCTACGTTTAACATATTAACAAAATGTTTCTACATACAATTGGGTATAATATAGCCTACGTCACAGGTCGTGTTGTTCCTACTAAATTTAACCCATGAACGGCATTTTCTGCGAGCCTAACTTCAAGCCACAAATAAGCAAACGAAGTGTTCGATCGTTTAAATAGCTGCTCGCCAGATTTTATTGCATTATAAAGAAAAGTTATTGAAACTAAATACAACTAAATAAACAACAACAACTAAAACAAATAACAACAACTACTAATAACAATAACTAAATAAACAGCAACTAAATTCCATTCGTTTAGCATTGCGTCATATGTTGTTCCTACTAAATCGAAGTAGTTGTGTTTTTTTCATATTATACCCAATTACAATAACTTTATACAAAGCAAACAAAATAATAATGTAATTGTTTAATATATAATGATGCATAGAAGCAAAATGATACAGAGATATATATGCAATTTTTTTCTTGAAAAATATCAACTGTTAAGAAAGCAAAAAAAAAAAAAAAAAAAAAAAAAAAAAAAAAAAAAAAAAAAAAAAAAAAAAAAAAAAAAANGAAAAAAAAAAAAAAAGAGATGAGTGAGACGCTACCACGAGGTTCGGCGAGCGGAGCGAGTTTCTCAAAATGTTTTTTCAGAAAGTTGTTTGTTAAGGATATGGAAACAGATATATCGGAAGTTATTCATTATAATTAAGTTTAATTGAATTTCTTGATAGAAAAGCAGTTGGGAGATCTTAATGTAACGACAGTTATAAAATAAAATAATATATGAAAAAGAAATAATTATATTTGCTCGCACTTTCCACAACTAAGCACATTTCCCTTAGGATTTTATTACGATCTGTAATCGAATAGAAATAATTTTTCTCATTAATAATTTTTTTTGAAATAACATTTAAAATTATTTAGAACAAATTGCGTGAGTTCACAATCGTTATTTAATTTCTCGCTTACCAAACAGGCTGACATATTAAATACAATTGTGCATGCATCATCACACAGAAGCTGATCGTTAATCATTTAACGCATCTCTTTAATGGTAATAGCATATTGTTTTAACTCACATCAATAATTAATACAAATTATAAAACGGTTAATAAGTTTAGACACCTATTCAAATAAGTTAATCTTAAAATGTTGCGTAATAACGCCGTTTTTCAAAACTCTGTCGCCAAGGAAAATTTTAAAAAAAAGCCATAGTTTAAGTGCCTTACATTTGAAGCAATGCGATGATTTTAAACTATATATTATCTAGCCATGATGAATTATCTGGGCTATAGAACAGACAAATAACTTAAAAATTTTATAAGTTATTGAACTTTTTTAAAAATCGTTAATATGGCGACACTTTTCCACTTAGATGAAAATTATCAAGATCACTGCCTTATTCACAGTTTTTGTAAATTTTTATGAACCCAGGTAATGCAGCATTGGAGTAAGTTTTTAAATATTAAAACATTAGACGCTTTTTATTGTCACAAAACTGTGACTTTTCTCCATATTGACGTTATTTTCAAAATAAGCGGCTTTAGATAGATTGACTAAACAGTCATGACTCACAGCAGTTAAAAAAATGGCATCATTTTATGTTACAACAGAACCTTCGAAAAACAGCACTAAGGAAATAGAATTACACTAGTGAGCGGCTCCCCCTGCTCGCCAACCCCCGAAAATTGCTGCGCAATCTTATATGGTTTTTTGCTTCGCAAACCAAGCTCGCTTCGCTCTCTACTGACTTAGGTACATTGCAAATGCACAAAATTCTAAGAATTCAAAACAATCATTCAAATCCATATAACAACTTTTTTTTTTAAAAAATTACATCATTTTAGTAAATACTAAGTTATTAAAATAAATTTGAATTCAAATAAATGACATGTAATTCGTTAAACCTATTAGAAATGTGCTATAGTATAAAATCTTAAGATAAAATTTCTAAAACTGATATCTCTTTAAAAAGGTTAAAATTTTGGCTATAATTAAGTCTATTAAAAATTGAAATAAGTGAATTGCAATGGAAAAACCTGCATAAACAAATAAATTCTAGTAAAACAAATAAATTCGTGATATAAATCAAAAATCGTCAAATAAATTCGTAATATATAAATTCGTGAAAAAAAGCGCTTTCGACAAAATACTAAAATAGAGATCTATCGACAAAGACTACTCACTTCTGCCTAGCTTAATAGTATGAGATTGCCGCAGCTGATGCTCTCTGGTTATTTCAGTTTCCGTTTTTAAAAGCGCTATATGTTGAGCCACCTCAGCTAGATTTGGCATGTGACATTTCCCAGCGTTGTCATTCGGGGAGTTGTAATGAGGCTTTTTTTTGTCGCCGTGTAAGAGAAATATATATATATATACTAAGAGGCTTCGCCCCCTGCTCGCAGGCGCTCGCCAACCCCCGGAACTGCTTTCGCAGTTCATTTCGGATTTCTTCGCAATCCAATGCTCGCTCATTGGATAGATTCTTAACGTCTAACTTTTGTATACTTTTTTGATTACTGAAGTTCCGAAAACTTTTCACTGTAGAAAATTCTAAACCTGTACATTTCAATATTAATTTGAAATTGATAAACATAAATTTTTTCTTTGTTCATAATTTTCATGCACTTTAAATGCTTTTTCTGAAAAACGTTAATTTTGAAAAAATTTCTTTGACAATTTGAATGTAGATTTTGTGAAATGTTAGCGATGTTTTAAACTGAACGCCAAGTTTGAATTTGTTATCTTTATCAAGTTTTAAGTAAGAATAATTTAGACATTTTCTATAAAAATTTGATATGACAGAACGTATTTAGTTCTAGTGCATTGCTTATTTTTTCCTTTTTTTAAGATTTTAGTTCAAAACACATGTGATCACATTATTATTATATCTAGAAAAAAAATTTGAAATTTATGTATTACAATTTGTTATAGAGCTGCTAACGTAACATGAAAAATTTGTAATCCTTAAGCTCAAATTTGCCATATTTTGAAAAATAATTTATACATTTTTAAACTTCAAATTTATAATTTTAGAACCCCTGGTTACCAAACATAAAATTAAAATTTTAATTGAATATTTTTTTTAAAAAAATTTTTTGTCGAAACCAGTTGGATACCTAAATTTTATGCTGATAACAAACAAACAAAAATATGGAAGTCAGCGAAGGAAAACTGGCATATTATTCCATTCTTTAAATATTACGTAAGCATCTAAGTGGGAGGAGTTTATAATTTACTTATTTTTGCTCACAAAGGGGGAGGATGGTTATGAGCAATACTGACATAAAAGTTTACTTATTTTCTTCTTAAAGAGCAAAATTAGAAATGTAACAAAAAAATTACGTATAAAAGCTGAATAGATTTGGGCAAATTGTTTAAATTTTGGACAAAGTTGAGGTAAATAATTCGGCTGTAAGCTCGGTTTTACTTCATTACATCACAAAACGAAAAGTTGAGTTGTCAAATCCGGGGAAAAGAGTTGCAGAGTTCAACAGTTTTGAACACAAAAGGTTCCTCAAGAATAGTCTACAAAAATTTTCTGAAATAAATTAACGAGTAAATTTTGTTTTATCCAAAGACATATCTTTTGTTTGATTTTTAATCATAAAATTAGATTACTTCAGTAAAAATCAGAGGGGTTACGACTTTCTTATTATGTATGGGGTTTTCTTTTTTTGCTGAAAAGGGGAGTTCAAAGTTTGGAAAATGAATGCCTACGTGATATTTGGACCTTCCCTTACACACCACCGGTAAAGATTTATTTGCTTCATTTCAATTTCAGGAACAGTCGTTGCGATTTCATGGATGGAGTGTGCCACGAATCTCCAAGGTGGGTCAGCCTGTTGGTGGCCGAAATATATTACCCCGACAGTTTTTCACCCACGACGGCCATGCCACCGGTCGAAGATTTTTACAATTTCCAGCAATACTTAAAAAGGCGTGTCGGTGAAGATGACATTGACCAAAGAGCAGCACAGAAACATAAACACTGTGATGGGTTCGACGCTATCGGATGCTATGTAGTCAGGCTGTACTACGATTGGTTCCTGGTGAATGGATCGTGCAAGTGTTGGAAACCGTCACCGAAGAGGACACTGATGGGTTAAAACTTTACTATTCGAATGACCATCTTGTCAACAGTATTGTATATTTATCTTAATGAATGGTTTTCTTACAAAGACATTTTAAAAATTCAAAACTTTTCTTGAATGAATGGGGGGAAGGGGGAACTATTCAACTGACGAGTATTCCAACTCGAAGCAATACACTGCAGCACGACACGATAGTGACGAAATTAATGGATGATAATTAATTGGTAATAATAATTGCATGTGCTCCTTCAATCACCTTTGTATAGTGCTACGCTGGTTATGATACGGGCTAAAATAAAATAAAAATTTCAAACCTTTTTATTAAAAGGGAGCTATACCCCATAAAAAACACTTCATGATTTTTTTTGCTACATAAGTGATTTAAAATTTAAAGTACAAAAAAAAGTGAATTTTGCAAATTATGGCAAGATTAAAAAAGGATTATTCAATGGGGAAGTAAGCCTGCTATAATTTTGATTTTTAAGCATTTGAAACTTTCTGGTTTACTGAGTGTACTAATGAGTGAATGAAGTTGAAACAGAATTTGCGATGAGAAGTTTTTCCTGCGGTATAGCATTCTCTAAAGTGTTTTATTCAAAATTTGTGTCACTCTAGAAGTTCATAATAACACTTTGATAATTCGGAGCTCTCACTAAAATGTGGATTCATTAAGAAATGAGTGGATAGAAAATTCAAAAGATGCGCTGAAATAATAAAAAAGATCTTCCGCTGGTCGGTACATTACATTGAAACACAAACAAGCTAAACAGGGCGTTTAATGATGGAGAACATGGACGCCCTATTAATAGTGTGTCTTCGATCGCCATCGATGGCCGCTCAAGCCAGCAGACACATTCCCTTCATAAACAATGCTATTTAAATGCATAAAAAAAATCATTTAAGATCTCAACTATCAAGAATTTTTTAATCACTCCGCAGTTAAAGGTTTAGTCACATAGTGTTAGCCGCATTACAAAGCGCAAGTTGAATGACTATTACTACTTTACCCAAATCTAGACACGGAACTTTGTAGCAGTTTTCAAAAGGAATTCATTTTTATGGGTTCTTTCTTCGAATTATGATAAATATGCAGTGTCGTTCTGAATAAGATAAAGTGCATCATTTTCAAAGAATAAAGGTTGATTAGATTTAAAGAAGAGCTGGTCTCAGAAATGAAACAATTTCTGTAGATTTTTTTAACAATAGAAATCTCATGTTATAAAGTAGTTCCAAATGTAAGAAAACACATTAAGTTTTGTCTTTCTTTATTTATTTATATGTTCGTGTTGTTATTGTCCATAATAAATGTTATATTTAATAAAAGGTTCTCTTTGTAATTTCTCAATTATAACTTTAAAAGCATCGTGGGTGAGCTTATTCTGGAGACAGCTCAAAATGCTTATTTGGGAGCATCCGTTCATCAAACTTCTTTAATGAGTATTTTCTTTTTTGAAGGAATACAAGTAAATTCGTGATGTGGCAATGTCCACTAGCATAAATCACTTTTCTCAATTATTCACTTCAACAGCGGTTTCTACAAGGATGTCACAGATTTATACTGGTGATATTATTAAATTTACATTGTAAGGATTCAGATTTAAAAAAAAAACACTTATTGTTAGCATTCTAAATGTTAAAAGATCATCTGAAAAGCTACATCTGTAATATAGCCGGTTACTACGACCCCTGAAATCTGTCATGATTATGTTGAGTATTCCAAAAACAAAACAAAAGTAAGTCGTTTTGTGTTGGATTGAACATTTAAAAAGCCATGTCATTTCGAGTTCAAGTCTTTTTCAAGCTCACACATACGCATTTCACAAAAACAAACATTTTGAGCAGCAGCCAGTATAAAAAGCTGAAACTAGCGATATACTTTTATTTACAATGCTATACATAAAAATGTTTTGAACCGAATGTTACTTTTATCTTCAAGTTTTGAAAGATTATGCTGTTGCTGAAAGTCTCAATGAGTAGGTAATTTAAGTTGAGGAGTAGATTATATTAATTATTGAAGCGAGAATTTTTTCTTTTTCTCATATTTTTTTATTTTCTCGCAATAAAAAATGATAAACGCGAGAAGTTCGCGCACTCTATAAATCAATTTCAAAATGCGCGAATTTTGGAAAAAATTTCGTCTTTCGCCATTTTGAATAAAATCCGTTTCACTTTTCTTCCTTGATCTTTCATTATTTTGAACATCGGTCCTTGTTATCTAGCTTCCCTATTTACCAGTATTGTTCAGAACCGGTGCGAACAGCAGAACTCCCCCCTCCCAGAACCCTTTCAGAGCACATTTCTCTGCAACCACGTGTTCACCGTAGGTAAGGTATGTAAGACGTTTAAATATTTTGTGCATGAATGTAAGATGAACAAATACCTTGTTAAGGCGACATCTTCTACTCCGTAGCGGACAAAGGAAAATGAAACAAATGTCAGTAGAAACGGTCAAAACGAAACAAATACGGATATTTTTTAACCAAATAAATATAATAGCTGTTGAAAAAGTAGATATTGAACATTTTCCATATGATGATGCAGCAAAAAAAATCCAATTAGAAGATTTTAAAAATGTATTATAATTAAAGAAATAATTTTTTTCCAAATCTATTCGTGTTTTTTTAATTTGTAGAAATCTCACTCTGTTTTTGAGAAAGGGTGAGAAATTCTCTCCAATTTTTTTTCTGTAATGAAAACACTGGCTAAAGAAATAAATTTTCAGATTATATCAATACCATCCATAAATTAAGTTGTTGAAAAAGCTGTTTCAGTGACTGTTGAGCGAAGTCTTCTGGAGCCATGTCATGAATGAACCACATTCATCGAAAATCGTTGAATGAAGAAAGGGTATTTCAATTAAGTAATGTTATATTAAACTATCATTCTAGCAACAGGAATAACTAAGTTTTAATATAGCAATAAAAATCAATAAACTAGCAATTTATTTATTACTGAACAATCCTATTAACTTTCCAGAAAGACGAAACAAAGCAGCAAAAAGAAATTCAGTCGACGTTCGATGCACTTCATAACACTTTTGGAGAAGACCGATTGCATGACTAGAACCTCCCCCTTCCATCTCCCCATCTGCTCAAATGTATGGGAACATATTACGATGTCCCCCCTCCCTTTATAATATTTTATGCATTTCGATTATCAAAAATAATTTTTAAAATTTCCATGATGCTATTTTAAAATCAGTTCTGAGTTCCATATAGTTTGCAAACTTAAAACATTTTGGTTTGAAATTCAAGACAGGAAACTAACGTACTTTCGAATCCTACGACTATGGTGAAAGCATGACTAGTGTTGCCATAAAAAGCTCTGCCAGGGCTTATTTTGATAAAAATATTATTCTTTCTTCGGTCCACTTCCTTCAAAATTTTTAATTACTACTCTGTTACATTTTTTACTTCATTTTATAATCGTCGTTGAATAGGCGACCCAATGTTATGGGTTTACAACTGCTAATGTTCAACTCCGTAGCCTTGTCATTTTGAACCCAATCCAGAACACAAGGGAACTCCGGGATCAAGTATTAGGGAGAAATTTGCCATCGTAAAGGCTTTTTCTAGATTTAATAAACTCACATTTGCTGTTACATGGAGAGGAAAAGCTTCCACGGTTATCCTGACGGCAAGGGGACACTAACCCATGATCGGTCTACCACTGAGCATATTTTACGTTAGCACTGTGGTGGGTGCAAGCCGGATGCATAATTCGTATCGACCAGTCATCGCTGGGATTCGAACGCGGTTTATCCCCAGAGCCATCACTTTTCTGTTCTGTTACATTGGTTACAGGTAGACATTTTCCTTAAGGGACACACATCAGAATAACTACAAAGTTTAAAAAAAGAAAATGCGTACGCCACATGCTATTTCTCCAACAGAAACCACACTTCAAAAAAAGAGAGAGAGAGAGAGAGAAAGTGAATACAGTTTTGAAACAAGGAAAATATTATTGATGAAACTATTGAACCATTTGCAAAATAATTTAGAAAGGTTATGAATGTCTACAAAACTCTTTGACATGAATGTTGCAAATATATATTGTTGATGCAGGTGTTTGATCAGTTCAAGTTAAAAGCTTTGATAGCTCTAATATCTTTGTTTTGTCTATCAATAGATAAAATAATATTATGAATATTATTTGAGGCTGAAAATTCATATTTTAAATAGGGATTTTGTTAAAAGGAATCTAAAAATATGGAAGTCTTGTAATTTCTTAAGTCTAACAGCTTTCAAGAGACATGAACAGAGGAGAGAAAAATTCTGCTACTAGCTAGTTGTAGTAATCCTGTAAGCAGTTGTAATATTTTTAACACTTTATTAAAGACGGGGTACTTTTTCAAAAATAAAACATTTTTACCAATTGAAAAAATTCTTGATTTTAATAAGGAGGAATTTCTTTTGAATCCTCTCTCAAATAGGAAATAAAGATATTTGCAGAATATTATAAGATACTAAAAATAATTCCATATTTCTTGAAATTATTTTAATAATAAAATATACATGGGGTTCATTTTTAACAAGTGACTGACCAACCAAGTCATGCAAAAACTGTTAATTTCACTTTCTAGGGAGAAGAATGACACGTCATCATAGGCAATAAAAATGGCAGAAAAAAAGAGGGGAACATTTTATTTTCAGGAAAAAAAATTTGAAGATTTCTAACTCCATTTGGAGTCCTAGTTAAGAGTGCCCAGGGTTGAACTGACCATAGACCTAAAATTGCAATCACCCTTTGGGGCCCAGTTACTGTGGTAGACCACTTTAAATGTGATCCCATGTAAATTTCAAACAAAAAGAACACAGAAAAAAATATAACATACTTTTAAAACATATTTTCTTGTTATTCATTTCATTTTTAGAATTATGAATAATACTGAAGCCATGATAGAACATCCCAATTTCCGCAACTGTGGCAAACGGCATATCGGCTTTGTTTATAAGTGCAGTGTCTATGTTAAATAAATGGGACCCCACCCACAAAAATCTTAGAGGTTAGGTTTAGCCCCCTCCTAAAATATGGGAAAAAATTAAAAGTAAAATACCTCAACACAATATTTCTTTAGCATTTGGAAGATACATAATTAGAATTAATATATATATATGTAATATAGAATTTCTCATGCGAGTCTTTCTATATTAACTGGTAAGCTTAATAAATATGTTTCTTATCAAGTTTAAGATGTAGAAGTCGGTCTCTCACAAAGAGCCATAAAAAGTCAAGATGAACCAGATAAGGCCAGATAAAAGATTATTTTCTGAAGTTAATGGGCAATAATTCGTCGATGAAGATAGTCCCAGAAAGTTCCCACCGTCAGAGTGGCGAGATACTTTTAGCGAATCAAAACCTTTAAATTTTATAAATTGAATGACGTTTCATTGAGATAAGAAGATCCTTGCAACCACGCCCTCTCAGAATCTCACTTTAAAAGCTCAGGACAGGCAAAATTGCGTGTCTTTTCCATATTTTCAATGGCTAGATAAAGCTGGGCCAAATCCGAACAATCCCTGCAAAGGGGGAAACCTGATGTAATTATCCCACGCATAATGTTTGTAATACTCCATCTAACGAAATAAAATGCCTTTTTACAGAAGCCGCCTAAGTCTCTTCAATTATCTAGCCTTTAAAGACATAACTTTACAAGCCGGCAGTGGCAAGTAATTTGTTTGGGAATAATGGCCCCAGATATAAACAGCAAAGAACATATCCATCGTTTTACTTCAACGAAAAGATTAGAGAAATATATATTACCTTCCGAAAAAGAAGATGAAAAGAAACAACAAATAAGTCAACAAGTTCCGATGCATGGGGTGAAAAAGCCCGAAAATTTTTAGAGCTCCTTTCCCAAAAGAAGTAAATAGAAAAATATGCAAGTGGATCGTCAAATCAACAAAAAAAGGAACTCTATCGCCTGCTAAAGTCGAAATACAACCATAGAAAAAGATTATGTCAGAATAAATATTCATTCTAAAGTTCACCACCGCATCTGGATCAATTAAAGAATCATCAAAAGCCATATGGAGAATTTCAACTCCGAAGAATCCCCAACCCCCCAAGAGAAGAAATGATACTACATCTTTTTACAGTTCTAAGTAAAGCGGCGTTCTTCATCTAGGTGTCGACATCTAAAAGAACACTTGCATCGAAATCATGGAAAACATCTGGAAGGAGGATCTGGACTTACAAATGCTCAGAATCAAATATAAACATTATCTTCAAAACTCTAGAAGTAGTAAAAGTATTCCGCGTGTCTTCACGTAAAATGTTTAAGTCAAACCTTTTAATTTATAAATATAAATTTGCAAT